CTGCAACCGGCCGACCAAGCGGCGTGAGTGTGGTGCGGTCCCGAAAGAAGGAGCGAGAAGCCCCTGAGTCAAGTGTGAAGGTGAGGGAGGCCGAAGCCGACGCAGTACCTGAGAGCGCAGCCTCACCAGTACCTGAGAGCGTAGACGCGCTGGCACCTAGACCAGTAGCCTCACAAGCACCTAGCGCAGTAGTACCAATGCCCGGGTCGGGCGGGAAACACCGGTAACAGTCACCCTCATAACTAATAGTCACAGCATACATGGCAGCAAGGATAGCATCAAAGTCAGGGAGAACACCCCTCGAAGATGGGGGTGCGCGGGTCACCACGAGAGGCTCCTACAGCGACTTTGCTCTTCTCTGCCGCCAGGAGGGCCTTCTTGAGGAGGTCGACAGTGAGGGTGGTGGTACACACTGAGAGGAAGTGGTCCCTGACTACGCGAAGGGAGTCAGGGAGGCGACTGACTATGTAATAGAGAGCGATGTACAGGGGGGGGGGGGGGGGGTTCTTGGCGCAGAACTCAGCAGGAAGCGCGGCGCGGTAGCGAGTGTCACTAGTGCGGAGGTGCGTAACTAGGTCAGCGACAGTCGGAAGAGTAGCAGTGCAGGAAAGAGGTACGGTAGCATGAGGCAGCTCAGTGCAGAATATTGATCTTCTTGGCAAGCGCGGGGATCACGTTAAAATTCGAGAGGTTGCGTAGGATGATATCGTGCGAGATGTCCGGCTTCAAACCTCCAACATAACGGTCCACCCGCTCCGCTTCGTGCATGTAGCCGATTTGCTCGCACAATGCGAGAAAACCGCTTATATAGTCTTGGACCGACCCAAATTGTCGCCAAGTACGCAATCTCTGACGCGCCGAAATAGAAGTCCCGATCGGCTGGAAGCGCGCTCGAAGCCCTGCGCACCACGCATCCCACGTGCTGTACTGGGCGGTCTCGCAGAACAAATCCAGGTAACGGCTGGGCTTATGGGCTCTCCCTCTTACGACGGCAGCTTGTAGGCGCGTGGCGACGTCACGATGACTCGCCACCAGTCCATGGTAGGGCCCCTCAGCAGCGAAACAGCATAGGGAATCTTCGGTGCGTCCGACTTGACGTAGTTCGCGTCGAAAAAAACGTTCATCGTGAAGACCCGCGATTGAACCGTCGGACCTCCACGTTGGCTGGAATCGAAGCAGGGTGGGTGCTGCGCCTTGAGTGGCATCGATCTTATGAAGTTGTAGTTGCCACTTGTTGCCGCAAACTCCATGTGCCGACGGGCTTCACGAGGCTCTTGTGTGCTTGGTGCGGCCGTGTTCCTCACTGGCTGCGCCTGAGCACTGTCCCACGCAATCATGTTGTGATGGTGTGCCTAATGAGATGACAATCGGCTCCTCCAATTGCGCGAGTACATTTGCAGGTGCGTGTGTTGGTGCTGGTGCATTCACTGTTGATTGCTGGCGAGCAAAGTCCCATTCCGCCGTGAGTGTCGCAATTTTGAGTGCCGAATCTTCGAGTTGGCGCACGAGACGGTCAAGTTGCTCCTGCTTCAGTGTCTCGATGTTGATGTCGGTCATGGCGGGGGTGTCGGGCAAGCTCAGCGAGAGCCTCTATCGTGGCCGTGCGTGCTTACGATGGAGCACTACGAGCGGCTGTGCTTGTTCGCTGAGAGACGTCCACCCCCTCCAAAATTTGAGATTGTAGCGAATGTGTGGGTGCGATCCGACAAGAGATTGTAGGCTCTGAATACCAATTGAGCGAGCGAGCGAGAATTGCACTATCGAGGCAAATAATACAATGAGCAAATAATATATAGCGAAACTATAGTGGTAACGGTAATGCGTGGAAATGGGGTGCGCGACGGGCCTAGCGCCGAGGTTGGGAAAATGTCGAGGCGGAGGTCCGGAGCGCGGATTACCAACCAAACCGTGAGGTTGGGTCGCGGCGTAAACAGTGGCGAGAACATTGTCAACGCGAGTGGTAAGAGCTTACTATTTGGTGTTGTTGGCGGGAACAGTGGTGTACGCGCTGAGCAAGGACGCGAAGTAAGGAAAAGAATTTTCCTTACACATATGAAGTATTGAAGGCCGTCTATGAAAACATATTCAAAAAATTTAACGAGCCCAATAATTCGTGGGTATAGCTTAATGTTTTGATTTGAACACGGATTCTGGCGGGAGTGGGATCGATTCTTGCAAGGTTTCCTTTGTTTCCACTTCAGTTATCCCATGAATGTTTCCTCGCTGTCTGGAAACTCATACCAGGTTGCTTTGGCGTCAACTTACCTCATGAGCCGGCGTCAATGGAGGAAGCTCTCGCTGGAGATGATCGAGAGGCATGGCTGGCTTCTAGGGAGGATGAGTTCCAGAGCCACATGGAGAATGAAACATGGACCCTTACCAATCTTCCCCCAGGAAGGAAGGCATTGGACTGCACGTGGGTGTTACGTGTGAAGACCGATGCGGAGGGGAGGTTGGAGAGGCGCAAGACAAGGCTTGTGATCAAAGGCTTTCAGCAGAGGGAGGGAATTGACTTTCAAGAGGTGTTTGCTCCTGTTGCCAAGGCTCCTACGCTCCGGTTGTTGCTAGCAGCCGCTGCCGTTTGTGGCTGGAAGGTGGAGCAAATGGATGTGAAGACGGCATTCCTCTATGGCGTGGTAGATGAGGAGATCTACATGAAGCAGCCAGAGGGGTACGATGATGGGAGCGGACGTGTTTGCAGGCTCAACAAGGCCATCTATGGCCTCAAACAAGCTCCAAGGTGCTGGTATGCAAGGCTGGTGGAGGTGTTGGAGGCTCTTGGCTTCAAAGTTAGCGGGTGCGACGAGAGTCTCTTCATGACCGAGGGGGAGGAGGAGAAGGTATTTCTCCTTGTCTATGTCGATGACATCCTCCTCTTCTCTCCATTCCTAGAGAGGATCAAGGAGGTGCAAGGGAAGCTGAAAGAGACCTTTCAATGCAAGGCCCTTGGACCAGTGGGGTATTACCTTGGTCTTCACGTGGAGCGGGACGAGGTGAAGGGATGGTTGAGGCTTCACCAACACAAGTACCTTGCAGCCATGGGGGAGAAGTATGGGCTGGAGGAAGGGAGGAGTGTGAAGACTCCTTTACCCTCAGGGTTTCAGCTGCACCTTGATGAAGAGGAGGGTGAGGTGTTGGAGTACGAGTTGCAGTGTCGGTTCCAGTCAATGGTGGGGAGCTTGATGTACGCTTCGGTCAACACTCGCCCCGACATTGCGTTTTCAGTTTCACAGCTCGCTCGTGTGGTGTCTAGGCCCCTTCAAGAGCACCTGGATGCAGCAGAGAGGCTGATGAGGTACTGCATGGCAACCTCAAGGGTGGGGCTGCAATATTCAGTGCATGGGCAGCTGAAGCAAAAGGGAGTGGAGGAGGTGAGCACAAAGATTGGTGCACCTGCAAGGCGTGATCATTTGTACCTCTCGTGATTCACTGATGCTACCTGGGCAAGTGACATCAGTGATGGTTCATCCCATGGTGGCTATATATGCTGTGTTGGAGGGAGTCCAGTGAGTTGGAAGTCTAAGAAGCAAGGAGAGATAGCTCACTCATCAACGGAGAGCGAGTACATGGCGTTGTTTCATGGAGTGAAGGAGGTGGTTTGGATGAGGAGGTTGCTTGAGGAGTTGGGGCAGGAGCAAGAGGGTCCTACACCTGTGTTTTGTGACAGCCAAGGAGCAATTGCAATGGCGCGTAATGCTGTGCTCCATGGGCTGAACAAGCACATGCATATCAAGTGGCATTGGGTGAGGAAGGAGGTGAAGAAGGGCACCATCTCCTTGCACTACATCAACACTACCAAGCAACCTGCGGATTTCTTGACTAAGCGGCTTGCAGAGCATCAGCATTGGAGCTGTGCCACCTTGTGTGGCATGTCCTTCAACTAAGGGAGGCAGCTTCAGGGAGCAGCTAAGGGAGGAATGAGAGCACGATGAGGGGGAGTTTGTTGTGCCAAAGTACTACAGTGGCACGGTCATCGCACTCCCATTCAGCCTACAAGCCTGCTCAGCTTCTGGAATTTTGTGGGGTGGTGCTTGAACATGTGTTCTTCATACCCTCAAAGTTTCAGAATCATTGAAGCAGTTTACAAGGCATGGCAACATTTTTAGTTTCAAGATTTATGGCATCCCGGAAGTGTGTGTTACTCTTGTTTGGTAACACCCGAGTTCACCATTTCGGCTGCTGACTCATCTACAGAGCTTTGATTGGTCTGCCAATTAGTGTGGTAGTCCTTTGCCTTGTTTTGCAGGTGTTCACCGAGTTTCAGGACAACCCAGCATCGGAGCAGCACGTGACAGCTGTCGAAAGTTACTGTTCCGTAGTCATGGTGCACTGTTGGCAGCATTTCCCTTGCCACCCTTTCATTGTTGTCATGCCAATGGTGCAGGGACAGGGAATGAGACAAGAAGTACAGGTGGTCAAGTGGGACTCTACCACCCTCCTTTTGAGAAGTGTGGTCTTCCTGGAAGCAGCTTGCAAGAGGGTGCAAGTGGGAAGACAAGCTGACTCATGGTTGGCTTGACTCACTATTGGTAGCCTTGAGTACAGCTCTGAACATCCAAGTGTGGTTGGCTTTGCTGACCTAGCTAGGACGTTTCCCATCCTTCTCTAGCCTTTCTCCCCTAGGACTCAACCTTCTCTGAGTTCCCAGGATGGTCCCAACCCCTTAAGAGTCCCCTAGGCAATGTTGTACTCAACCTCTTCCTTGCATCAATGAAACTACTCGTTTTTCAGCCGAGCTTACGCTTTTGTTCACTGCGTAGCGCATACATCTCTGATGAAAGCAAGCTATATACCGTTAGAAAGCAGACACTTGAAGCTAACGTCTGTCCAAGTTTCAGCTTCGTTTGATATCGGAGCTGATCGTGACGACGTTTTGAACAGAGGCGGTTTGAAGTCGTCAGATTCTGCTGAGGTGGTTTCAAGGGCATCTACGACCCCTAAGTGGACTCTAGACTATAACAAGTGGTATCAGAGCTGTTCTACTCTGTTCTTGGGTGAATATGGAGGCTGAAGGCTCTGCTCCAGCTGCTCCAGCCGTTCCCTTTGCCGGCCCGCCGCTGCACCTGCCGGCAAGCCGCTGCACCCGACGGCCCGCCGCTTCACCTGACGGCCCCGCCGCTGCACCTGCTGGCCCGCCGCTGCACCCTACGGCCCCGCCGTTCCCTCTGACGGCCCCGCCGTCCTCTCTTCCGGCCCGCCGCTGCACCTGCCGGCCCGCCGCTGCGCTTGACGGCCCCGCCGCTGCATCTCCCGGCCCCGCAGCCCCAGCAGCCGAGCCGCCCCAGCAGCCGAGCCGCCCCAGCAGCCGAGCCGCCCCAGCAGCCGAGCCGCCCCAGCAGCCGAGCCGCCCCAGGAGCCGAGCCGCCCCAGCAGCCGAGCCGCCCCAACAGCCGAGCCGCCCCAGCTGCCGTGCCGCCCGAGCCGCCCAAGCCACCGAGTCGCCCGAGCCACTCAGCAGTCGGGCCGCCGAGCCGCCCGAGCCGCCCGAGCCCTCCCTGCACTGCCCTGTCTGGTGAGCACTGAGCTTTACTCTGCGCACTGCCCTCTCTCTACTACTGTCATGGCTACCCCCAGTGTCCTCGCCTTTGACGCTGAGGGCAGAGCCATCGACTTTGACGTGTGGGTAGACGACCTACTGCTTTTCCTACAGTGCGACAGAGCTGACGGACTCTCTCTCTCTTTGATCTCACTTCTGGTGCCTCTCCCGCCCTTGCTGCTACTGAGGATGCCACTGTTCGCTCACAGTGGGCCACACGCGATGCTGCTGCACGTCTTGCTGTGCGTCGCCACCTCCCTCCCGCTGAGCGTGCGCACTTTGGGTCGTACAAGAGTGCTCAGACCTTGTACGACGCCGTTATTGCACGCTACTCCACCCCTGCCACTGCTGCACTGAGCCGCCTCATGCTACCGTACCTCTTTCCCGACCTTGCTGCTTTTGCCACTGTAGCCGACCTCATTACCCACCTGCGCACTAGTGACGCTCGCTTCCGCGCTGCTCTTCCTGCTGAGTTCTGCGCCAAGAACCCCCCCCCCCAAGTACTTCACTCTCTACTACATTGTCACCCGCCTCCCTGACTCCCTTCGCGGAGTCAGGGATGACCTACTTGCAGTCTGCCCCACCACTCTCACTGTCGAGATCCTCGAGAAGTCCCTCCTAGCAGCCGAGAAGAGCATTCTCGCTGTAGGGGCCTCTCGGGGTGACCCGCGCACCCCCATCTTTGAGGGGTGTTCCCCCTCCCCCCTCCTGCCCTCTGTCGCCTCTGCTGCTACGGCCGACCTTGTTGGTTTTGAGTCGGTCGGTGCGGCGTCTGCCCCCAGCGGGAGACGTCGCTCTGGCAAGAGCAAGGGGGGCAGGGGCAGTGGTGGAGGCGGCGGGGGCGGTGGAGGCAGCGGTAGAGGCAGCGGCGGAGGTGAGGGTGGTAGCGGGAGTGGTGGCGGGAGTGGAGGTGTCGGCGGAGGCAGTGGAGGCGGGGGCGGCAGCGGCGGTGGTAGTGGGGGTGGAGGCAGAGGCGGCGGTGGCGGCGGCGACGGTGGGAGTGGCGGTGGCGGCGGAGGTGGTGGAGGCGGCGGCGGAGGAGGCGGCGGAGGTCGTGGCGCGTCGAGGAGGAGTGGCTCCGGTGGTGGTCAGCGCCAGCAGCAGCAGCGTGGTCAGGAGACCCTCTCCCCGCAGCAGCTCCGTGAGTGGTACTCTGCGCGTCAGCGGGGTGGGGGTGTTGGTCCGTGCACTTACGTCCTGCGTACTGGCGACCGTGCGGGTGAGCAGTGTGGTGGTCCACACTCCACTCAGCGTTGCTTCGGCCGCCTGACTGACGCTTGGCGCCGCCAGTTTCGTGACGCCTCTGAGATCCCTCGCTGGGACCAGCTGTCTAGGGCGGGAGTAGCTATCTTTGATCTTGACTTTGATGCTATTCTTGCTGCCATGTATGCTGTGACTATTAGTGAGGAGGGTGACTGTTACCAGTGTTTCCCGCCCGACCCGGGCATTGGTACTGCGGCTCTAGGTGCTGTTGAGGCTGCTGCTCCAGGTGCTGGTGAGGCTGTTGCTCTAGGTGCCAGTGAGTCTGAGTCCTCAGGTGCTGGTGAGTCTGCTCTCTCAGGTACTGTGTCGACTTCACCCTCTCTCACTTTCACTCTTGACTCCAGGGCGTCTCGCTCCTTCTTTCGAGACCGCACCACTCTCACGCCGCTTAGTCGGCCAGTGGCGGTCTCCTTGGCAGACCCCTCTGGGGGTCCTGTTCTGGCTCGCTACTCCACTGTCCTGCCGTGCCCTGCGGTCCCGTCTGGCGCCCTGTCCGGTCTCTACCTCCCCTCGTTCTCTACGAACTTGGTGGCGGGTGCTGACCTACAGGATGCAGGGGTTGACCAGTTCACCCCTGCGCGCCGACGGGTCACCCACTGCACGGACGCGGACACGGGTCGACACCTGACCACGTTCACACGTGGTCCAGGGTCGAGCCTGTACACACTCACTGTTCCGTCTCCTCCTCCTGCGTCTGGTCAGGTAGCTGCGTCGGGTCAGGTGTTTGCTGCAGCGTCCAGGTCTGGTCCTGAGTCTGCCCCCTGCTCCTGTCGCCTCCTGTCCCACGAGACCCTCCTGTGGCACCACAGGATGGGTCACCCCTCCCTGCCTCGTCTCCGGGGCATGGCCTCTCGCCTTCTTGTCTCTGGCCTTCCCCGGTCCCTCCCTCCCCTTCCTTCGGGGCCTGGCCCTCCCTACGTCCCCTGTGTCGAGGGTCGCCTGCGGGCTACCCCTCACTCCTCCCCGTTTCCTCCGACGGAGGCCCCGCTGCAGACGCTTCACATGGACGTGTGGGGCCCAGCCCGCGTCCGTGGACAGGGTCACGAGCGCTACTTCCTGCTGGTGCTTGACGACTACACGCGTTACACCTCGGTCTTCCCCTTGCGCAGCAAGGGTGAGGTCACTGAGGTGTTGATCGACTGGATCCGCGCAGCTCGTCTCCAGCTCAGGAAGAGCTTCGGCTCGGACTTTCCTGTTTTGCGTCTACACTCGGACAGAGGCGGAGAGTTCTCCTCCGGCCTGCTGCGAGCCTACTGTCGGGCACGAGGCATCCGCCAGACCTTCACGCTTCCGGACTCTCCACGGCAGAATGGGATTGCTGAGCGCCGCATCGGCATTGTCATGGACGTCGCCCGTACGTCCATGGTGCATGCGGCTGCCCCCCATTTTCTGTGGCCGTTTGCGGTTCGGTACGCCGCGCATCAGATCAACCTTCACCCCCGGGTCTCTCAGCCCGCGATGTCCCCAGTCTTGATGTGGACGGGGAAGGTTGGCGATGCGTCGGCGTTCCGTGTCTGGGGATCTCGGGCGTTTGTCCGCGACTTGTCTGCGGACAAGCTGTCCCCTCGTGCTGCTCCCTGTGTCTTCCTTGGCTTCCCCACAAACGCTCCCAGGTGGCAGTTCTACCACCCCTCCTCTCGTCGTGTTCTGTCCTCCCAGGACGTCACGTTCGACGAGTCAGTCCCCTTCTACCGCCTCTTCCCCTACCGCACTCCTTCCCTCCCCCCTCCACCTGACTTCCTTGTGCCAGTTCCCCCCCCGGTAGACCCCCTCCCCCCTCAGGTTCCTGCCCCCTCAGGTGTGTCCCAGGTAGACGCAGTTGACCCGGTCGAGGTTACTGGTGACTCAGGTGCTGCTGCGGGTGCTGAGCCTGGGGGTGCTGACTCTGGGGGTGCTGTGCGCGGGGGTGCTGAGCCTGGAGGTGTTGCTACTGGGGGTGCTGAGCCTGGGGGTGCTGGGCCTGGGGGTGCTACTGCGGAGGGTGCTGAGCCTGGGGGTACTGAGCCTGGGGGTGCTGGGCCTGGGGGTGCTGCGCCTGGGGGTGCTGAGACTAGATGTGCTACGCCTGGGGGTGCTGAGCCGGGGGGTGCTGTGCCTGGAGCTGCTGAGCCTGGGGGTGCTGAGTCTGGAGCTACTGCGCCTGGGGGTGCTGCGTCTGGAGCTGCTGAGCCTGGGGTTTCTCCTGCTTCTGCGTCTCGCCGGGAGCCCCTCTCTCCACCGGAGCTGCGCGAGTGGTTTGCTCGCCGCTGGAGGCGTTCTGCTGGAGCTGGAGCTTCTTCGACCGTCGAGGGTGCTGGTCCTGCCATTCCGGGAGCTGCTGGGCCTGCGGGTCCTCCTGGAGCTGGAGCTGCTGAGGGTGTTGGTGCTGAGACAGCTGCTTTCTGTCCTGGCGGTGGTTCTGCTGCTGGTGCTGCTGGAGGTCCTGCTGCTGGAGGTGCTGGTGGCGCTGGTGCTGTCGCTGAGGGTGCTGGTGCTGTCCCTGCTGCGTCTGGAGTTGCCGCGCGGCCTCGGCCGTACTTCGTTCCGCTCCTACAGCAGGTTCTTGGTCTTTCTCCTCCGGCAGAGTGTCCACAGCCTGTCCAGTCGCAGTCACTGTTGGAGCCTTCCTCTCCACTACCTGCTCCCTCTCCTTACACTGGTCCTACTGGAGGTCTTGCTGAGCGTCGTGAGCCTGCGTCTCGTCCTGCGTCGCCTGTTCGTGCTGCTCGCGCTAGTGGTCGCGGCTCGCATCAGCGTCCTCCTCCAGTCCCTGGCACGCACCGGATGTCTCTGCGTCCGTCCACTGCTCCTCTGCGTGCCCCTTTGCCTTCTCCTCCTGGGTCCTCTCTTCCTGCGCTTGCCGACCCTGAGTCGGACTCTCTTCGTGCTCCCAGTTCTACTGTCACGCGTCTCCTTGCTACTGTCGTCACTGACCCCTCCTTTGAGTCCACTGCTGCGTCTGCTCTTGTCGCTGAGCTCGTCGACTTTGCTGCTCGCTGTCGTCTAGACTTCGCTGCTGGTCTTGTTGCTGAGTCTGCGTCTGTCTGTCCTCCGTCCGTCGGGGGTGAGTGTGCTCTTGGCACGGACGTCCTATAGGACAGGCAGGAAGAGTTACAGTGTCTGGCTGCTGCTTCACCTCATCTCGCGTCTATACTGCTTGCTCCTTAGGGAGACCCGGATGCACTAGACATCCCGACTCCGCGCTCTTACGCGGAGGCCGTAGAGGGTCCCTACTCGTCTCAGTGGCAGGCAGCTATGGATGCAGAGATGGCTTCCTGGAAGTCCACAGGCACCTACGTTGACGCAGTTTCCCCTCCTGGGGCGAACATCGTCAGTGGCATGTGGATCTTCAAGGTGAAGCGGCCGCCGGGCTCTCCACCTGTCTTCAAGGCGCGGTACGTTGCTCGTGGCTTCAGTCAGCGGCACGGAGTTGACTACTTTCAGACCTTCTCTCCCACCCCGAAGATGACTACTCTTCGGGTGCTGCTGCACGTAGCCGCTCAACGCGACTACGAGCTTCACTCTCTTGACTTCAGCACTGCGTTCCTGCAGGGTAGCCTGCACGAGGAGATCTGGTTGCGTCGTCCACCTGGCTTCACTGGGACTTTCCCTCCTGGCACCCAGTGGAGCCTCCGACGGCCAGTCTACGGTCTCCGCCAGGCACCGCGTGAGTGGCACGACACACTGAGGACTACGCTTGCGGCTCTTGGTTTTGCTCCTTCTACTGCTGACCCGTCGCTGTTTCTGCGCACCGACACATCTCTGCCGCCGTTCTACATCCTCGTGTACGTCGACGACTTGGTCTTTGCCACAGCGGACACAGCTGGACTCGCCTACGTGAAGTTCAAGCTGCTGAAGAGACACACATGCACTGACTTAGGTGAACTACGCAGCTACCTTGGCTTGCAGATCACTCGGGACAGAGCACGCCGCACCATTACCTTGACTCAGTCACACATGGTGCAGCAGGTCCTTCAGCGCTTCGGCTTCACGTACTCCTCGCCTCAGGCCACTCCTCTGTCTACTCGCCACTCGCTCTCAGCTCTGCCTTCGGATGAGTCCGTAGAGTCAAGTGGCCCGTACCCAGAGCTTGTTGGCTGCCTCATGTACCTGATGACCTGCACACGACCTGACCTTGCATACCCTCTGAGCATTCTTGCACGCTATGTTGCTCCTGGGAGACACCGACCAGAGCACATGGCTGCAGCGAAGAGGGTATTGCGCTACCTGTGCAGTACGTCGGGCATGGGGCTAGTGCTTGGAGGGCGGAGTCCAGAAGACGAGCGGGTAGACTGCCACGAAACACATCCATAGCCAAGGCTGAAGGTATAACCCTGTGATGACTGCTGCGTAGCCTGGTCATCAGCCCAAGAAGCGTCTGCGTGCCCAGTGAGGACCACTAGACTCTGCCCTCCAAGCACTAGCCCCATGCCCGACGTACTGCACAAGCAGCGCAACACCCTCTTCGCTGCAGCCATGTGCTCTGGTCGGTGTCTCCCAGGAGCAACATAGCGTGCAAGAATGCTAAGGAGGTATGCAAGGTCAGGTCGTGTGCAGGTCATCAGGTACATGGGGGAGCCAACAAGCTCAGGGTACGAGCCACTCGACTCTACGGACTCATCCGAAGACAGAGCTGAGAGCGAGTGGCGAGTAGACAGAGGAGTGGCTTGAGGCGAGGAGTACGTGAAGCCGAAGCGCTGAAGGACCTGCTCCACCATCTGTGACTGAGTCAAGGTAATGGTGCGCTGTGCTTTGTCCCGACGGATCTGCAAGCCATGGTAGCTGCGCAGTTCACCCAGGTCTGTGCACGTGTGTCTCTTCTGCAGCTCGGACTTCACGTGGGCGAGTCCAGCAGTGTCAGCAATGGCAAAGACCAAGTCGTGGACGTACACCAGGATGTAGAGGACCACTCAACGTCGCCCTCCAAGCACTAGCCCCATGCCCGACGTACTGCACAAGTAGCACAACACCCTCTTCGCTGCAGCCATGTGCTCTCGTCGGTGTCTCCCTCGAGCAACTTAGCGTGCCAAGATGCATAGAGGGTATGCAAGGTCAGGTCGTGTGCAGGTCATCAGGTACATGAGGCAGCCAACAAGCTCTGGGTACGGGCCACTCGGCTCTACGGACTCATCCAAAGGCAGAGCTGAGAGCGAGTGGTGAGTAGACAGAGGAGTGGCCTGAGGCGAGGAGTACGTGAAGCCGAAGCGCTGAAGGACCTGCTGCACCATGTGTGACCGAGTCAGGGTAACGGTGCCCTGTGCTCTGTCCCGGCTGATCTGCAAGCCATGGTAGCTGCGCAGTTCACCCAGGTCTGTGCACGTGTGTCTCTTCTGCAGCTCTGACTTCACGTGGGCGAGTCCAGCAGTGTCAGCAATGGCAATGACCAAGTCATGGACATACACGAGGATGTAGAGCGGCGTCAAAGAGGTGTTAGTGGGCAGAAACAGCGACGTGTTGGCTGTAGAAGGAGCAAACCCAAGAGCCGCAAGTGTAGTCCTCAGTGTGTCGTGCCACTCACAGGGCGCTTGGCGGAGACTGTAGACTGGCCGCCGGAGGCTCTACTGGGTACCAGGAGGGAACGACCCAGTGAAGCCAGGTGGGCGGCGTAGCCAGATCTCCTCGTGCAGGCTGCTCTGCAGGAAAGCTGTGCTCATGTCAGGAGAGTGAAGCTCGTAGTCGCGCTAAGCGGCTATGTGCAGCAGCACCCGAAGAGTGGTCATCTTCAGGGTGGGAGATAAGGTCTGAAAGTAGTCAACTCCCTACCACTGACTGAAGCCTCGAGCCACGTAACGCGCCTTGAAGACAGGCGGAGAACTCGGCGGCCGCTTTACCCTGAAAATCCACATGCCACTGACAATGTTCGCCCCAGGTGAATGAACCTTGTCGACGTAGGTGCCTGTGGACTTCCAGGAAGCCATCTCTGCGTCCATGGGTGATGGCCTCTGAGACGAGTAGGGACACTCGATTGCCTCAGCGTACGATCGAGGAGTCAGGATGTCTAATGCATCCGGGTCTCTTTCAGAGGCAATCAGCATAGACACGAGATGAGGCAAAGCAACAGAAAAACACAGGAACTCCGCCTGCCTGTCCTCAAGGACGTCCGTGCTAAGAGCACACTCACCCCCGACGGACGGAGAACAGACAGACTCAGACTCAGCAACAAGACTAGCAGCGTAGTCTAGACGACAACGAGCAGCAAAGTCGACAAGCTCAGCAAGAAGGGCAGATGCAATAGTGGACTCAAAGGAAGGGTAAGTGACAACAGTAGCCAAGACACGCGTGACAGTAGGACTAGCAGCATGAAGAGAGTCAGACTACGGGTCAGCAAGAGTAGGAGGAGAGGACTCTGGAGGAGACGGCAACGGGCCACGCAGAGGAGCAGTGGAAGGACGCAGTGCTCGGGACCGGAGGAGGACGCGGACGCGGAGCACAACTACTTTCGCGAGCAGCACGAACAGGTGACGCAGGACGAGACGCAGGCTCACGACGCTCAGCAAGACCTCAAGTAGGACCAGTGTAGGGAGAAGGAGCAGGCACGGGGGAGGTGGGCTGTAACAGTGACCGTGACTAGACAGGATGTGGACACTCTAAGGGAGGAGCAGGACCAGTGGAGGGCGCGAGAACAAGAACCTCCTCAAGGAGCAGAACAAAGTACGGCCGCGGCCGCGCTGCGCCTCCACAACCAATAGGGAGAGCACTAGTACCCCCAGCGGCAGCACCAGCGCCAACAGTACCTCCAGCTCCAACAGCGCCAACCCCAGCACCCTCAGAAGTAGCAGCGCCAGCACTACCACCCGTGCCAACACCCGCAGCAGCTCCGGCTCCAGTAGCTCCAGCACCTCCAGCTCCAGCAAGACAGTCAGCTCCAGTACCGCCAGCAGCTTCAGGAGTACGTCCACCAGGACCAACTCTAGCAGCCCCAACAGCACCCCAAGTCCCAGCAGCTCCAGTACCATCAGTAAGAGCACCTCAAGGACAAGCAGCAATAGTAGCACCTCTAGCTCCAGCAGCACGCCTCAAGCGTCGGGCAAACCACTCGTGCAGCTCCTAAGGAGAGAGTAGCTTCCGCCTCGACGAAGCACTGCGAGAGGCCACACAAGCAGACCTAGCACCCCCAGGCTCTGCACCCCCAGGCTCAGCACCCCAGACTTAGCATCCCAAGGCTCAGCACCCCTAGACTCAGCACCCCCAGGCTCAGCACCCCTAGACTCAGCACCCCTAGGCTCCGCACCCCTAGACTCAGTACCCCCAGGCCCCGCACCCCCAGGCTCAGCACCTCCAGGCCCGGCACCCGCAGGCTCAGCACCTCTAGCAGCACCAGAGTCAACAGCTACCTCGTCAGGCTCGACTGTGTCTACCTAGGACACACCTGACGGGGCAGGACCCTGAGGGGGGAGGGGGTCTACCGGGGGAGGACCTGGCGCAAGGAAGAGCGGCGCGGGGGGAGGGGTGCAGTGCGGTAGGGGAAGAGACGGTAGTAAGGCACCGACTCGTCAAAGGTGACGTCCTCGGAGGACAGAACACTGCGCGAGGTGGGGTGGTAAAACTGCCACCCAGGCGTATCGCGGGGGAAGCCAAGGAAGACGTAGGGAACAGCACGGGGGGACAGCTTGTCTGCAGACAAGTCGCGGACAAACGCCCGAGATCCCCAGACCCGAAACGCAGACGCATCGCCAACCTTCCCCGTCCACCGCAAGGTGGGGGGGGTCTCTGGCAAGGAGACCCGGGGGTGAAGGTTGAGCTGATGCGCTGCACACTGAAACGCAAACGGCCACAGAAAATGGGGGGCAACCGCATGGATCACGGACGTACGAGCGACGTCCATGGCCATGCCAATGCCGCGCTCAGCAGTCCCAATTTTGTGTCGAGAAGCCGGAAGTGTGAAGGTCTGGCGGATGCCCTGTGCACGACAGAAGGCTCCCAGACGGGCAGAGGAAAACTCCCCGTCCCTGTCAGAGTGCAGACGCAGAACACGAAAGTCCGAGCCGAAACTTGCTCAGAGCTGGAGACGAGCTGCGCGGATCCAGTCGATCAACACCTCAGTGACGTCACCCTTGCTGCGCAAGTGGAACATCGTCATGTAACGCGAGTAGACGTCAACCACCAACAGGAAGTAACGCTTGTGACCCTGGCCACGGACGCGGGCAGTGCCCCACACGTCCATGTGAAGAGTCTCGAGCGGAGCCTCTGTCGTAGGAAACTCAGAGGAGTGAGGGGCGGCACGCTGCTGCCCCTCGATGCAGGGAACGCAGGTAGGGCAAGGCCCCGGAGGTAGGGGAGGGAGAGACCGGGGGAGACCATAGACAAGGACACGGGAGGCCATGCCTTGGAGACGAGGCAGGGAGGGGTGACCAAGACAGTGGTGCCAAAGGAGAGTCTGGTGGGACAGGAGACGACACGAGCAGGGAGCAGACTCAGGACCAGACCTGGACACTGCAGCAAACACCTGACTCGACGTAGCTACCTGACCAGACTCAGCAACCGGAGGAGACTCAGTAGTCAGTATGTACAGGCTCGACCCCGGCCCACGGGTAAACGTGGCCAAGTGTCGGCCCGTCCGAGCACACGTACAGTGGGTCACCCGCTGACTCGCAGGAGTGAACTGGTCAACCCCCCTATCCTGTAGATCAGCTCCACTCACCAAGTTCGTAGAGAACGAGGGGAGGTAGAGACCTGACAGGGTGCTAGAGGGGGCTATCGGACACGGTAAGACAATGGAGAAGCTAGCAAGGACAAGACCCCCAGAGGGGTCCACGAGGGAGACCGCAACTGGCCGACTAAGCGGCGTAAGCGTGGTGCAGTCTCGAAAGAAGGAGCGGGAAGCACCTAAGTCAAGGGTGAATGTGTGTACGGTCTGAGCCGACGTGGTACCTAAGAGACCAGACTCACCAGCACTTGGGGCAGCAGACGCACTAGCACCTAGAGCAGCAGCCTCACCAGCACCTAGAGCAACAGCCTCAATGCTCGGGTCAGGCGGAACACACAGGTAACAGTCACCCTTATCACTAGTAGACACAGCATACATGGCAGCAAGAATAGCATCATAATCAAGATTAAAGATAGCAACCCCCGCCCTAGACAGCTCTCCCAAGCGAGGGATCTCAGTGGCGTTAGGGAATTGGTGACGCACGCGTCCGTCAGGCGGCCTAAGCAGCGCTAGGTGGAGTGCGGGCCCCCGCACTGCTCACCAGCATGGTCGCCGGTACAGAGGACGTAGGTGCAGGGACCAGTACCCCCACCTTGCTGATGCCCAGC